CTGTGCTGAAGCCGAGAGACGCTTGCGCTTGTGCATGCAAGACCGAGACCGTGGGACTCGATCGTCTCAGCAGGGAACTTCCGGTTGCTGCAGCGTGTATGCAGCATCTGGCCACTGATCAACTGTCTCACCATGCACCACACAATCAAGTCAAAGTTTTGATGAGTGTTCATCAGACACTCAAGACTCGCGACTCTCTACAGCTGATCAACTTGTGACTAAAGGCTGTCGGCGCTCCTGTTGTTGTGGGTAACATTAAGCTCGTCTGGCTGCATGGAGCAAAGCATCTTGCATGTCTCTGCTGCTTTATCGTCTTCGCTACGCACGGACTGTATTGCCGAGTGTATCATAGCTCATTTTCTGCCCTTGTGTCAAAAGCTAAGTCCAGCTCAAGGATTTCAGCGGAAGCTTCAAAAGGGATGCTTATCGCGGGTAAATACTCTTCTGGCTGATCGGGTCGCCGTGCAATTGTAGGGAGCCTTGATCGAGGTGCTGTATGCGCTTATCACAGTTAGTCATATGAGTCGGACAAGTGGCCGAGTCTTAATTACGAGCACGAGAAAAGTTAGGGATGGCCCGCACTTGGCGTGAGCAGGGCATCGCGCCTGTTCTGTCGACGTGGGCCATCCGGCACAGCCCGCGGGCTTTCTTCTCAGCTTCAACGAAAGCTCTGAAGAGTCAAATTTTAAGCTCGAATGCTCTCTGTTGCCCGACAGCAAGCGAAGCGAAGCGAGACTCCAGTTTCTTGTGTGGGGTCGCTGTACAACATTTCAGCAGTGCCCAACACTTGCCTGGCTCACCGCCCGAGCCAGATCGCAGCTTTAGAAGAGGTACCCGAGCATTGGTGAGTGAGGTGACTCACGTGATTAGATAGTACGTGCATATATGCGCCTCACCGATCGAGTGCGCAGCAGCAGCGTTGCGTGATCTGCTTATCGAAGTTTGGGCCAGCCAGGTCCACAGTCTTGCGTATTACGGTACCTACAGTACACAGCATGGACGCAGA